GGCGCAGAGAAAAAGACTTCTTCACGGAGAGCCCAGGACGGGCAGGAAGAAAGGCCTGGCCCCACGCACCCTCTCACACGCGAACCCGCAGCCGCCCACACCCAACAGGGATGAGTGTGTGTTACTCCCCGTTTAAACTATAGCAGATGCAGCCACAGAGGCTCAGAGAGGGTCAGTGTTTTGCCTGAACTCACACAGCAGGGCCAGGTCTTCACACCCTCGCTGGGGCCTTTGCGGGTTACCTTCAGGGACCTGCCTGCAGCAAGGAGCTGCCCGTGCCCTGGGCCCCGGTCAAGCCCAGCAGGTGGGGGGCCTGGGAGCTGCGTGGGGCTCTCTTCCATCTCATCCGGATGGTGGCCTGCTGCCGGGTGGGGGGCCCTGGGTGCGGGCTCTCCTCACTGCTGTGCGAGGCAGCCGCCAACACGGCCCAGCAGGAAGGAGGCCTCCCGGGCGATGGCTCCGCTGCCTGGGTTCAAATCCCAGCCAGCCCTCCCGGAGGCTGTGTGATCCAGGCCACTGACAAGTCCGCCCTGCGCCTGCGCCCGTCCACAGGGTGGGGGTAATAATCGAGGGGCTGAGCGGAGACGACATGGCGGGATTAAGCCGGAGTGAGCCCAGGCGCCAGCCAGGCTCCGCCAGAGAGAATCCCCGCGGAGCCCCGCCCGCTCCTCTGCCACTCCTTGTCTGCACAGTGGCCGCGGCCACCGGCTGTTGTAAAATAGACACCCCCCCCGTACCCACATATCCATCTCCAAGGGGTCCCCCAAACAATGTCTCACACACTGAATAATTAGAAAGGCAGTGTTTATGAAAATACATCTCATTTTCAAAATTCAGCTGTTAAAGTGTGGGTACGCTTCTGGGGGGACACCCTGGGTGTGTGTGTGTGTGTGTATAATTTTTATTCTTTTTTTTTAAGATGAAGAGAAGGGGTGGTGAGCTGAACTTGACCTGTTATATGCAGAGTTCACACACAGACTACCTTTAGGGACGTGAGGAAATAACCGTAATCCAACGTTATTGAGCCTCTCAGCGTAGCCCCCGGAACTTAAAGTGGGGTCCCAGGCAGGGAGGAGGGGGGACTGGCCTTTTCATCACCAGCCCCTGGCGGTCCCCCTGCCCTGGCCACGCGCCATCGGCCCAGGGAACTCGGTTTCAGGTTCAAGGCCCCGCCGACACCCAGGCCGTGGGGTGCAGGCC